TGATGGAAAGATCCTATTGCCAAAACACCACCAACTAATTGAAGGACACAGAAATGAACAGGAACTGATAGAGAAACTTCGCTGCTTCCTTACAGGGGAGGTGCTAGATATCAGTGTTTTTTTGTTTGTTTGTTTGTTTTGTTTTGTTTTTTGATTTTTCGAGAAAGGGTTTCTCTGTAGTTTTGATGACTGTCCTGGAACTAGCTCTTGTAGACCAGGCCTGCCTTTGCCTCCCGTGCTGGGATTAAAGGCATGCGCCACCACTGCCCGGCAACATCGGTGTTCTTAACCAGCACTGGGCCTTGCATGCTATACCACCAACCTTAACAAACAAGATATGCCTACTTAACACAATGTCGTGGCTGTTACACAGGTAACCAACTACTTTGCAGTTAATTTAAGGTCTGTGTCACAGGAGGTAATTCATGCCTGGTGCTGTAAACTTGGTCAGAGGCCCATAGTTTGGAAGGTTATAGGTTGAAGGTGGGAGGTCAGGGGGTGGTTCTACTATGCTGCTTGGCTAAATGCTCATGCTGTCAAACAGCCTTCTAAATGTTTGTGCTTACACCCATAGGTTTGTTACACTCTCAACAACGTTGGTCAGAGAAGCTTTTTGCAGTGGGCAGAATAATATAGACTAGCTGTTGTGAAATATTATTTTAAGATGTGTTACATTTGTTTATGCTGTGGAACATTTGTTTAATAATGCAAATGTGTTGCATTCTTTTATATTGTATTTGTTTAACTCTGAAGCAGTGCTATTTTGCCTTTTTAAAACACCAGATTACTCCAATAAAGAGCTGAATGGTCAATACCTTGGCAGGAAAGGATAGGTGGGGCTGGCAGGCAGAGAGAAATCTGAAAGAGGAAGAAGGGAGAAGGAGGAGGATTCAAGGGTCCATCACCCAGCTACACAGCCAGCCAGGGAGTAATAATTAAGGAAAGGTATACAGAAACAAAGATAAAAGCCCAGACGAAAGGGTACATGGGATAATTTAAGTTAAGAAAAGTTGGCAAGACACAAGCTAAGCTAAGGCAAGGCATTAATAAGTAAGAATAAGACTCCATGTGTGATTTATTTGGAAGCTGTATAGCGGGTTCCAAGAGAAAAGAGTAAAGGAACAACTTATCACAATTAGTAACTGATTTAAGGGACTATGAGTTTCAGCCATAAATATATTCTCCTCACACCTACCCTCGCCTTAATAAACATCCCAGAAAAGATGGAAAAAATGTAAGAGCCAGAAGTTGGGGAAGAATGTCATGAAATGTTTTCTGGACATGATCAGACCACTGTACCAAGTAAATTCACAGTAGAGTGGAGGTTACATGCACAAGATTTAAACAAATCAGTCAGCATCCAGCACAGATGAGAGGACACTTAGATTCCACCTCTAGCTGAAGATCTATTGGCAACTGGTGAATGCTGGGGGAGGGAGGAATCAGTTTTCTTTCTGGATATAGCCAGCGGTAGGTTGCACAGAATTCAGTGGATGGACCCATGCACTAACTGGACTTTGGTCTTATAAAATAAGGAAAGAAGAGAAAGGAGACAGACAGGAAGGGTCAGAGGGAGCTTGAGGGAAGAATGCAAGGTAGAAATGTTCAAAAATATGTATGCAAGAATGAAATTCAAGAAATAAACAAAAAACATTGATTAAAAGAAAGAAACCAATAAGGTGTAGTGGTGCACACCTTTAATCCCAGCACTTGGGATGCAGAGGCAGGAGGATCTCTGTGACTTCAAGGCCAGTCTGGTCTACAGCTAGGTCAGCTAGAGTGTCAGTTAAGACAAGACCCTGTCTCAAAAGAAAACAAGGAACCCAGTTACTCCAACTGCTCACCACCTCACCTGAGCATCCATGGAAACAATAAACCCATTACAAATCAAAAGGCAGCTAGCTGTCCAGTCTTCTAAAACTTATACTGTTAATATCAAGAAAGGAACTTTCAGATATCTTCTTTGATGTCAAAACCTATTTAAACTTGTAAAAACAGATTAGGAAGATGGGTCATCTATTTCAGGACACACCCAAGAATTTGTTGAACATACCATGGCTGTGATTGCCTCAAGGAAAGCTCTTTACTTTTGTGCCTCAATTTCCCTACTAAAATAAGCAATATGACCCTGTTACAGAACTTTTTAACATTTAACTTAAAAATTAGGAAAAGATTATCTTAACTTTATATGAATCCCTCAGATCTTGCACATAAACACAAGAGACCCAAATTTATCCCTTAAGACACAGCTTAAAGAATGCAAAATTAATTAGCAGAAGTATCTCAATTAATACCAACAAGATAAAGTTTCAGATGAAAAATCACCACTGTTACATAACCTATAACTTAAAAACATATTTCATACTAAGTAATTCTGAAAATGCATATTAACCAATAAATTATTTTCTTATCACGGGGTCATTACCAAAAGTTAGCAATTCTGCTTATTCATTCGTACAACAGTACTTAATTCCAAAAAGCACTTTAGAATCTTCACAGAATTTTTAGAAAATTTCTTTTCTTAAAAGAACATTAGTCAGCTGGGCGGTGGTGGTGCACGCCCTTAATCCCAGCACTCAGGAGGCACAGGCAGGCGGATCTCCATGAGTTTAAGGCCGGCCTGGTCTACAAGAGCTAACTAGGACAGGCACCAAAAACTCCAGAGAAACCCTGTCTCGAAAATCCAAAAGAAAAAAAAATTAGTCATTTCTTTTTATTGTGGGTGTGTCACATTAAAAAACCAGAGGAACCTGTAGGTGTCTGTCTTCTCCTCCTGTCATGTGAGTCCTGAGGATCAAGCTGTCAGTCAACAAGCTTGGCTGAAGGACCTCTACTCACTTTGCTGTCTCACCAGGCTGAAACTACTCTCTAACATGGATTTCTGGGGCATTTCCTAACATACTTATACTATTTAAACAATTTCCTGTAAGTATGTCAGGTTTTCAATACCCATCACTATCACTGGGGCTTTTAGAAAGATTTTAGAATACTTTGAAAACTAACAAACTCACATAAAAGCAAACATTTGCCCCACTTTGTCCTAAATTCTCACCTTTTTATATCTGACTTGACTTCTATAACAATTTAACACTTACAGAAGGTGGAAATGACTTCACGCAAAATATTTCCCAGTTAGCTTTTAGCTGACAACTTCCACTTTAAAATAGCAGTGACACAGTGACCTCAGTGAGGAACCTAAACCCCAGAAAAGCCTAGATACATTACCCTTTGCCATCTAGATTAAATATAGTAATCATTATTGATTTTGAAGTTTCTCTTTAAACTGGCTGTAGTGGCACACATCCACAATCCCAGGACTTAGAAACTTAGAAAATTAGAGTCAGAAGACTCAAGGTCAAATTCCCTGCCAAATTCATCTTGGACCTCAGCTGTATGATATACCATTTCATTAATAATAATAATAATAATAATAATTTCTTAAGGGCAAAGAATGCCTACTATAAGGTCTTAAAGTAATAAAAGTAACATTCAAATTTTGGGGGATCTACCACAAAGGCAAAGGAGGGGGGGAATGAAAAGATATGCCAGAAGTACTGGATATTAGCTATTCTATTTCTAACTTGACATTTTTATTTGTGAAAAATAAAAGAAGCAAGTTCCATCACACCTCTAAGTATTTAAAGATAAATATGGTCAAATCTCTAGCTGTTTGCAGCATAACAATGGGCTGGGGAGTGTGGCTCAGTTGGCACACTGCTTGCCTAGCATAAAGTCCTGGGTTCAATCCCCACCACAAATAAAACTGGGCATGGTGGCATAGACCCATAATCACCCAGAAGTGCAGGCAAGGTCATCAGAAGTTCAAAGTCATCCTTGGATAACTTTAAGGCCAGTCAGAACTATCTGACACTCGGCCTCAAAACAAAACCAGAAACAGAAAATTGATTAAGTCTCCCTTCCCACCAAGATCAGGCAAAGGCTCTTGAATATCGTTTTTCTTACTTTCTTCCAACCAAAAAAAAAAAAAGATTAAATTTAAAAATAAATAAAAGGAGACATTTAGTGTTTGTGCATCTTCTATTCAGACACTATTAATCATTTCTTTTAAAATTAAATTACCTACCTCACGGGGGTGGTTGTGAGGATTAATTCATTAGTGTTTCTAAAGCACTTTGAGATCCTCAGGTCAAAGGCGCTATAGAAGTGCAAAGTAGTAGTATTATTACTAGATTCTTTGCTTATTTAAGGAATTTCACAATCCTTTAAAACCTTACCCTGAGTTTTGATTTAGACATTTATTTGTAATATCCTGTAATTTATCAACATTAAATTCTTTTGAGTATGTTATAGACAGACAGGGACAGATGTTTCAAAGCCAATTTTCTTAAATGTTACACCTTGACCTAAAATGGCTGGAACAAGCTTGGAAATATCCAGTATGACAAACTATGAGAAACCCTGTCAGGAAGATTTACAAGTGTGCATAAGTTGTGAGAAAAACAAAACCGAAATGTACTTAACTACAGTCTGTTTTAAATTTTCATTCATAAAAGAGAAAAGGAAACAGTATCCAACTTGTAAAAGCTAGCACTGTGATGATACATTAATTACATTCACATATGTGGAAGTGCAATGCAGACATTTAAGATCCAGTAACAGTTTTCCTATGAACTGAGTAAAATAATTTGGCTGAATTTCTTCCAGTCAACCTCACTCTCAATTACACAGAACAGCTAATCCTTGAGAGAAGGTCAATTTATCACTGAGGGTAAAGCCTTCAAATCTAGTTCAATCTTGGATTAATGAACGACTTCCTACTTTCTGTTCTCTAACCAAAGGTTTTTTTACAATTAAAGTGGGTTTTCAAATAAAAGCAACAAAGGCATACACACACACAAAGCTAAGAGACACCATGAGCTATGTGCACACAGAATATTTACTCAGGGTTTTCAAGTGTCACTACCCTGAGGGATTTCTACAACACAAACTTCAGTCTCAAGATCCAACTGAAAAGGGGACAGTGAACTTTCACCACTTACCTCCTGCTCTTGTTGAAAGATGACAACTCTCCCACCTTTATCTCCTGTTGCTAGCAATTCTCCAGAATGATTAAACTCTACTGTAGAAATTATATCTGCTGTATAATTGAAACAAAACAAAAAGACATCAGTTTTTGTCCCCCAACTCGCTGAGGGTGTTCCTAACAACACTCTAGATCTATGTATCAGCCTGGTATCACCAAAAATGAGATCCAAGGTTCTTTTGTAAGCACTTTCATTTGGGGGGGGGAAAAAATCCCCAAAATAAACCGACACAAAACCATTCCACCAATCAAGAACACATTAATAAATGCCAGATTTGTAACTATTTCTCTTAATTTGTGAATACAAAGAAATCAACCACATATTTGTGGGATTGTGTTTTGTTGGTCGGGATTATTATCACCATGTGTTCAGTGACTTGTAGAGGAATGAACATGCCAAGTTGTGCATGTGGAACTCATAGGATAACTTTGTGGAACAGGTTCTCCCCTTCCATCTTCACACAGGCTCCAGGGACTGGATTTAGGTTTCCAGGCTTGCACTACAAGCGCACTACCCACTGAGCCATCTTGAAAGTCCAGTTGGAGAGGGTTGTTTTTGGTGGTAGTGACAGTTGTTTTTTGGTTTTGTTTTGTTTTTGTTAACACCATTGAACAATGATTATTTTGTGACAAAATATTGTTTGTTGGTTTTGTCAAGACTAGAAAAGTAGCTCAAAACTGGCCTTAAACTTGCTATCCTACTCCCTGAGCCTCTTGAATGCTGGAGTTACATCACACATGGCTTATTTATATGCTTTTGTTGAGCATGAGAATTTTTTTTTTTTTTTTTTTTGGTTTGAGACAAGGTTTCTCAGTATAGCCTTGACTGTTCTGGAATTTGCTCTGTAGACCAGACTGGCCTTGAACTCAGAGAAATCCACCTGACTCTGCCTCCCAAAAGAGCAATGGAATTAAAGGTAAGCGTCACCATCTTTTTCTTTTTATTTATTGTGTATACAATGTTCTGCCTGCATGTATACCTGCAGGCCAGAAGAGAGCACCAGATCTCATTACAGAGGGTTGTAAATCACGATGTGGTTGCTGGGAATTAAACTCAGGATCTCTAGAAGATGCAGTCAATGCTCTTAACCACTGAGCCATCTCTCCAACACCCCATTTTTGCTACTGTTATGTTGGAGGGGTTACTATGGATCAAACTTTCAAGATTCAAGTATGTGAGGCAAGTGTCTATCTCTCCTGCTAGGCTTGCTTATACAAATCCAAAGCCTCCAAAATTAAGGCAGAAAGAGGCCAATGTGGCCTACATGTCTCAAAAACAAAGAGCCAACAAAAATTTAAAATACATATGGGGGAGGGAACATTTTCAATGCAAAATTAATTTCAGATGGATTTCTAAAAGACATAAATCCAAACAGTATTCTCAAATATCAGCAATACACTCTTGGATACAAAGAAAATAAACATGTTTATTAAAATACATAACATTATGACAAAGAATTATATCATGAAAGCTACCAGCATGAGGAATACCTTTACGATTTTAAAACTAACTATTCCATGTTTTATAAAAACAAAAATAATGGCAGCACTGTCAGAATCATTACATTAAATGTGATGTATGGTCCAGCACAGAACATTGAGTTATGTTCTCATAAATAAGAAATGGCAAAGACCATAATACTTTTTTTAAAGGGAAGGAATCTAAGGACAATAAAAATGTCACTTTACAGCAAAGACTGTGTTGTCTTACTAATCTTAGAACATTCTAATATGGTTAAAGGTGAGTCTCCCAAACATTTAATGAATGTTAAATAACACACACTTAACACACAGAAAAATTTTAGACAGTGATTTTCAAATTATGCAACAAAAGAAGTCTTTAAAAGACATCATTGGGTGGGAGGTGAAAGGAATCGAAGGGGGTAAGGAGTGAGAACTGGAATTTGATAGCTTAAAAAAAAAAGAAAGAAAAGGCATCATCAGTTTGTACACCAACTCAAACTGAGGAGTTTATAATTCTATGAACACAGCAACTCCTTTCTAAACTCATCATCCAGGTTTGCCCTTTGCAAATGGAATAATCACTCTTTTGAGGGTGATATGCAGACGGTGAGACTGACAGCAGCAGCAGTAGTTGCTGCATTAGTGGCCTGTTTTGACCTTGTCTGTTCTTGCTTTGTCGTCTACGAAGGTCTTATGTGGCATAATAAACAAAATACAATGATCAGATAGCCAAGAATTCAAAATTTCAACGCTCGTTTTAAAACCCAAGGGGAAACATACACTTGTAGCAAATGTAAACTATAATAATTAGTGACAACTGCTGCACAGTAATGGACCAAACTATCAGCCTTATCATTTTTTTTTAAAGTATTTCAGTTCTGAGTTGTGAGGCAAAACAGGTTTTATAATTTTAAATGAGGATTACTTTCCAAAGAAGTAATTTGAAAGAAAGCAAGAAGTACAGACATGTAAGATTTCTATAATGGAAGAAAAGCTGAACATATTTTAAATATCCAATACCTAAGAGATGAAAAAGGCACTTCTATAGTCACAGGCTGGAAAGTATGGACTACCAATGTCTTTATAAGCATATATAAAAACTGGAATCCAGCAGCAAATTAAAACCAAAAGCTATTTACCAGTTAGCCATTTTCAGAGAATGTCTGACAACTCTAGTTCTTATATAAAAATAACTGGATACACATTAAATCAATAAAATAAACAGCTTGTTGATACAAAATGATATTAAACACATTAATAGACAGATATGTGAAACTACCATGTGGGCATGAAATATGTTCATTTCCTATTCATAGCACTATTGTATTGTTTTTGTATTTTTCATGTACAGATGAACAAAGGGAAAATCTAGAGATAATTAAATTAGGGAGTGGTGCTATAGACAAGCATCAAGTGTCAAAGCCAGGATTCAAATTTAGCAGCCATAGGGTTACAGTAGCAGCATAGGATTCTGTAAATCGTGGAATGAAGGTAAAGGAATACTGGGTAAGTATTTATTCATTTGCTGCCCCCCACACACACACTAAAGTGCCTGTATTCAAAGCACTTAGAACCAAACAAATCAACTTCTTACCTTTGTAATGACTAAGTAATAACTAAGCACTTGATGTAGCACCTGCTACAGAGTCAAGGTACTGAGGGCACAGGGTACTTAAACATCCTAAATTCTACCTCTGCAAGAAAGTAGGACACAAGAATGTATCCACAAGAAAGAAAACAAAGAGAGGTAGGCAGGTGCGCACGCACACACAAACACACCAACCAAGGAGTTAGATAAACAGCTCAGTGGGTCAAGTGCCAGTCTAAATGAGTTCAAGGTTCAGTGAGAAGTCCCATCTCAAAAATAAGACAGAGTGACAAGACTAACAGCATTGTCTAGCTTACACATGCACATGCCACATACATGCACACACCACATACATGAGTACACACAAATAAATATAACATACACAAAATAGGAGCCACGCATGGTAGAACAAGTCTATGATTCCAGCCCTCAGAAGGTAAAGGCAGGAGGACTGTCCTGTTTGAGGTCAGCTTGGTCTACCACAGGGAGCTCTAGGCTAGCAAGTTACATGGCTACCCTGCTAAAAAAAATAAATAAATGAAGCCAAAGGCAAAATGAATCCTATCACATGAAGACCAAATATAGAGATGCCTCCTCATTTTAAACTTAAACAGGACCGAGTGTAGCTCAGGGGCAGAGCACATTCATAGCACACAGGAGCCTGTGATCCCCAAAAGCAACAGGTAAAAAGTACAAATGGCCAGCTAATAGTGGCACATGCCTTTAATCCCAGCACTCAGGAGGCGAAAGCAGGTGGATCTCTTCCGAGTTCGAGTACAGCCTGATCTACGGAGTTCCAGAACAGACAGGGCTACATAAGAAAAACCCTGTCTTGAAAACCTAAATATTAAAAAGTACAAATAAAAGGAAGAAAACTCAACTTGGATAAATTGCTGAAGTGTCTAAACATCTAGGTTGTAGGGTCCCACAAACTGCACTTCAAAATGGAAAATAAGGCCAACCTCATGTTGAGCTATGTTCCCAGCTATTTTTGCTTCTTTAATTGTACTTTTAAATCTCATAAACTTCAGGGAAGATAATTTTTAATCCTACTTCTGGGAACTATTATTATTTTAGTATCTCAGCAAAGGACACTGTGTGATTGTGTACGCTCAATACCAAAAGGTAGATATATACCCTAACCCTGCCTATAATACCAGTTGTTCTAAAAATGTTACAAAGCAGGTTTGATGCTTTTTGGACAAAATAAAGACAATCAGGAAACTGGAAACAAATGACCAGAGTTTAGACAAGTAGTTAGGTAATAGATATGAAAGTCATTACTATACCATTTCCATGGAAACACCAGAATACCTCTACATACTACCAAAATGAGAAAGAAATCAAAAAGTTTTCTGCTGACAAAGCAATCAGCACTTATAGATACTGCACAGAGGCACAACACTGCAAACCCACAGGAGGTACAGCATTTTTGGCACAGTGATTGTGAACCTTCAGTGTTAACCTGATCAAATTTTTAAACATTACCTCCCAATGTCTGTGTTTTCAGAATAGTTTAACTGAGGAGGTAAAACCCACAGGTGACAACCATCTCAAGGGCTGTGTCCCAAGCTAAATAAAACCAAGGGAGAGGAAATGTGGACTTTGATTCCTGACTGTGGACACAGGATTAACAGTCACCATTGCCTTCCCTAGTATGAGACTATACACCATAAGCCAAAGCAAGCAAGTCAGTAACCAATAGGAATGACACGACACTGAGGATATGGTCACTGTTCTGCTCTACCAATAGGCAATGGTATCAGTGTTAAGGCCTGGATTTTTCTTTCACAGAGCATGTGCTTTGATAAACAAAGAGGTAATTTAATTAATCTAGGAGAAACAAGAATACAATGACTGGAGAAAAACATCATTTCATTAGGAAACTTCTAATACAGAAAATTAAAGTCTTAAAAGACCACATATCTATGGGGCTGGAGAGATGGCTCAGTAGTTAAGAGCATTGCCTGCTCTTCCAAAGGTCCTGAGTTCAATTCCCAGC